AACATGCAATCAAGATGCATTGATAATAATGGGCGACTGGAATGCAAAAGTTGGGAACAGGGAAGAAGAATCAGTAGTTGTTCGCCTTATAGGCTTGTCTATTGCTTGATTGCAAGTTCAGTCTTGTAGGTGAGTTTTGTTCCAAACTCAGGACCCTAGTCCCGGATGCTATGCAGGTCTTCATTGGACCAATAAGAGGGACCATTGCTATGTCTTTGGGTCTGCTGCACACTTTCTTTTCTGTTTCTCTCCAGCCCCTTGTTTTGTGATCCCTTAAGTATAGTCAGTGGTGGCACCTGAACACTGATCCTTATTATCTCATTATTTTGACGTTGATGTTTGTGTGGTCTTTTAGTCTTTGGGACTAATTGTTTCCATGTGTCTTTGCTTTTCTCTCTCTTCTTTGTTTGAGGCTAGGAGGGACCAAAAAATGGACTTTGAATGGCTGCTTGTAAGCTTTTAATACTTTAGTTGTTACCAAATTAAAGTGTACTGCATTGTCTTTGTGGACTGTGTTATGTCATTTAACCTCAAGACTATGGCCCTGAGATGGCCCTGAGGTCTCCATAGAGTTTTCTTAATTGTAGTCTTCATAGAAGTGATTTGAAAGGTGTTTTTTCTCTTTTTTCATGGAGCTGCTACAGGAGTTTAAACCACCAACCTGTAAGTTAGCTGCTGATTGAAAATGGACTCTGCCTAGTGTGTTTCAACAGCTATCCCTCAAGTGAAGCGGCTGTTAGAGGTGCAAAGGAATAGTTTTATCTTCAAATGGCTTTCCCCCTTAGTAATTTAGTTATAAACCACTTTATTAAAATTTGAAAAGATATTTCCAAGTAACTGTTTTATGGTGAGTAAATAGTGAGACTTATGGTGAAAATGAAAGTAACTACCATTCATTTATTTCAGAAGAATCCTTAGTTATGCTTTTTTGACTATTCAGAAACATTTAACTGTGTAGATGCTAACAAATTATGGCTAACGTTGAGAAGAATGGGAACACCAGAACACTTAATTGCCCTTGTGCAAAACCTAATCCTACACCAAGAGGCAAACAGAGCAAAGGAAGGGAACACTACATATTTAAAATTAGGAAAAGTGTGTGTCAGGGTTGTATCCTTTCTCCATATCTTGTCAATCTGTATGCTGAACATATTATTCAAGAAGCTGGATTCTATGAAGAATGTGGCATCAGGATTAGAGGAAGACTCGTTGTTAACCTTCTGTATGGAGATGATATGGTCTTGCTTGCTGAAAGTGAAGCCAACTTGGAGCACTTGCTGCAGAAGGTTAAATACTACAGCCTCTATATGGATTGTATCTCAACATAAAGAAAACAAAAATCCTCACCCTGAAATGACCCTCATCACGAAGATGGAGAAAAGATTGAGACTGTCAATGACTTCATCGTTCTTGGATCATCAATCACTATGCTTGGTACCAGCAGTCAGTAGATCATGAGACGTATTGCACTGGGATGTCTATAGTCAGAGACCTTTCCAGATTATTGAGAAGCAATGATGTCAGTTTGAGGACTAAGGTGCATCTGATTCAGGCTATGGTCTTTTCAGTTCCTTTTTAGGCATCTGAAAGCTGGACAATGAATAAGGCTGACAGAAAAAGAATTGATACCTCTGACCTGTGATGTTGGAGAAAAGTACTAAATATCCCATGGAATTACTAAAAGAACAAACAGATGTCTTGAACAAAGTGCAGCCAGAGTACTCCTTAGAGAGCAAGATGATAAAGTTTTGTCTCACGTACTTTGGATGTGTTGCTAGGAGAGGTTATTCCTTGGAGAGGGACATCCTGCCTGGAGAGGTGGAGGGATAATGAAGGAGAGGAAGACCCTCAACCAGGTGGATTGACAATTGACACAGTGACTGCAGCAATGATCTTGAATGTGTCTGGGATTGGGAGGACGACACAGGGTTCAGGTCTGTTGCTCACAGGCTATGAGTTGTTCTTGCCTCGACAGCCCCTAAGAACATCTTTCCTTTTACCATCTTTGGAAAAGTTATCTTTTTCCATTAAGTTCAAGACTATCGAGTATTACCAGAGAATTTTCTCCATTACAATTTTAAAATTTCCAGTTATCACTACCTAGTTTTGTTTTCTTAGGCCCTCTTGTTGCTGATTCTCCAGGTCTGTATGATATCATTTATAATTAGGATTACTACATTGAGAAAGGAGTCCTGGTTGTAGTATAATGGCTGAAACACTTGAATGCTAACTTCAGGTTTTGCAGTTTGAATTCACCACGTGCTTCATGGGGCGGAAATGAGGCAGTCTGCTCTCAATAGATTAATGACCTTGAAACCTAATGGATCAGTTCTCCTTTGTCCTGTAGGGTCCCTGTGAGTTAGATTTGGTTCCATTAATTCTTGTGGTGAGGTCCTCTAGGGAGTTGCCCTCCTAATGCAAAGGCCAAGCCTCCTTGCCAGTTTAAATGCATTAGTGCCTGAGGGAGAGTGCTAGAGAGTCTCTTCCCATGTGATGCCCAGCCTCTCTCAAACCCTGCAGGGCCGGTCACCTATGGGTTGGTTCAGACTTGAGTGTAGTGTGTGAGGTTTTTGAGAAGGTGATCAAGAATACCAGATTGGAAAGCACTCCTAAGAATCACCCATTTAAGATCAAAGGGCAGCATCTGATTTTGGATAAAACTCAGAAAGCCAAAAGTTATAGGAAGGGAAGAAGAATGGAAGCAGAAAATAAGGAGGAAGTGGGAAGAGGGCTGTTTCAATTTGGAGACTGTATTTAGTGTCATAATTCACAATCTGTATGAGTGTTGAAGAGAAAAATTTTCTCTGTAAACCATTGTCACTCAAGCCACTTAAAAATAACATTGAAAATGGCATTTATTATCTTTGTCCAGTAAAATAAGCTATTACTGGTAGAAGAGATATGTGCTGAATGACCATCAAGCATTATTGCAGGAAAAGAGAATCTAAACTTTTGAAGTTCTAACTTGTTGACATATTGTCTTTGTGTTGTTGAAGTACCTTTTTTTTTTAACTTGAAATTAGGGCATGACATTTAGACAGAGAAGAGATTCAGATTGTTAGTAAGTACAGCTTGCTTGGCTCCACAATCAGCACTCTTGACACCAGCCATCAGAATTGCAAAAGAATTGCATTGGGAAAGTCTGCTGTCTGGGACATCACTAGAGTACTGAAGAGCAATGATGGCAGTCTGGAGACTAGGTGCACCCAATCCTGGCCATGGTCTTCGCAGTTGCTTGCTATGTATCTGAGAGCTAGATAACAACTAAGGATGATAGAAGAGGGATCTACTATGCCTTTGAGTTGTAGTGCTGGAGAAGGGTGTTCAGCATACAGTGAACTGCCAGGAGAATGAACAGGGTAGTCCTAGAGAGGATGATACCAGGCTGCTCCCTGGAGGAAAGGATTTTGAAACTCCATCTCACATGGTTTCAGCAGCTGGCCAAGAGGGACCAGTCCTTGGAGGGGGATGTTATGCTTGGAAGGGTGGAGGGACAGTGCAGAAAGAGGAAGACTCAGGATGCGATGGGTTGACTCAGTGACTGTAGAAATGAGATTAGGTCTGTCAGAGACTGATGATATTGGCTCAGAATAGGGCAGGGTTAAGAGCTGTTGTACAAAGGGTCACTATGACATAGAGTTGACTCAATGACACATAACAACAACAACATATGCTAAAATATATTATCTGGAGCTTCTTAGTTACACGGTTGATATGTATATGTACAGACATAACTGTTTTGAGAATTGCTTGCTTTCCGTTAGAGACAGGGTTTTTGGGTGTGTGCAAATTTAAAACTTTTCACTTGTGGATAAAGTTTTAAGAGCCATGTTGTACATTTGATTGCATTTTTCTTTGCTTCTTCTTCTTTTTTTTCTTTGCTTCTTGTAATTGAAAACACACATGTCCTGTAGGTTTCTTCTGGTTTTGTCTTGTACTGAGTGAGCCTTCTTTCTTGGCAGAAGACCATGGACCAGTGTGTTTCAGAGGGTCTAATGCCAGACTTAGCTGTTTTACTTACTAGCTTGCTGTGTATGGCCTTAAATAGCATCTCTGGGCCTCATTTTTCTTTTCCTAAAAATGCCACTGGGTTTAATACTTTCCCCCCAATACTTTTTTTAAAGCCCCATAAAGCACTAATAATCTAGGACCTTGTTTTATAGTCTCCGGTTTCCAGGCAACTCAATGCTACATAACAACAACAGTAAGAAGCCAGTGGGCAAACTATGGATGCTGTGTGTACATCCACAGTGCCTTCTCGTTTCCCAGTGGTCTCCTTCACTTCTCCAGCTCCTGAAGGCAGAGGTGTTTACAGTGGCTGATGTAACAGTTATACACTAACATACAACACTATGCTTTGAAACAAGTGTTATTTTTGCCAACATAGGCAGAATTTCTCCAGCATGTCCTTTCTTTAGTCAATGCTGATAAAATTGGTAAACTTAAGTTAGGCAGAGTTCAAGAAAATCCTGTTAAACAATTGAACTGTGTTATCTTTTCATTAAGATGTTTCTGTTCTTACTTAAAAGATGCCCTGATAGAGCAGTGGTTAAATGCTTAGCTGGCAATTAAAAGGTCAGTGGTTCAAATTCACCAGCTGCTCTGTAGGAGAACGACACATCAATTTGCTTCCATAAAGATTGAAGCCACTTAAATTATAGATGGAAGCATTTAAATGCTATGGGACTGTTCTCTGTCCTGCAGGACTGCTGTGATTTGGATTTGACTTCCGATGGCGTCTTTGCCCTTGGGTCTTACTGAAAGGGTCAGCACCTTTCCATTCATCATTATAATGCTGATATTTTTTCTTTCCCCTCTCGACAGAAGAAGGTTCAAGCCTGGAGGAAATCGGCTTTAATTGGGGAGAATATTTGGAAGAAACAGGTGCAAGTGCAGCTCCTCACACATCTTTCAAACATGTATGTAGAACATTGACTTTTTTCCTTCTAATCTGTATATACAGAGTTGGATTACAGAAATTATAGATACTGGTGAGAATGCATATAACAATGAGAGAGCCAGCCAGTATTTCTGAGAAGTGATGAGCAGATGTGGACAATTTGTTATCATTTAATGGGTTATTGCTGCCAAGATGGACTTTACTCTTGCAGCTGGTCCACTCATGGGGTTGCTTCTCAAAGCATACTGACCAGAATGACATTTGTCTGAGGCATGGCTGGGCTTGGGGCAGTGATCAGTGAGTGAAGAGGTTTCGTCTTTGGAACTTTGTTACATGCCTAAGGAGGGGGCTCTGGCAGTGCAGTCCTTAGATCTTTAGGCTATTGACCAAGAAGTCATTGATTCGAACTCATCTTTTTGCTCCCAGAAAGAAAGATGTGGCAATCTGCTTCTGTAGAGACATACAGCCATTGAAACCCTGGAGGAAGTTCCACTTTGCCCTATAGGGTTTACTATGAGTCTGGATTAATTCAATGGCTGTGCCTATGAAAGAGAAATAGTAAGTGGCCTTTGCCTTCCAGGCACACAGCCTGAGACTGGTCAGATTACTTTGAATAAATAAGAAGCCAGGAAAGTAGTCAAGTGGGTAAACTGCATGATGTTGTCTTGGCCCCTGGCTTTATTTATATTTTTATTTTGAATTGATAATTATATTTTGCAATGATGATATATAAATATTTTCCAACTATTTGTGAGCAGATAAGTCAAATTAAAGGAAATAACACTAAGTACTTAAAAGACACTTAGATTCAACTAAAAATCTACTCTATAATAAACAATGTATCTTTCAATAAGTCTCAAATAAAAAGAAATGAATTTTTATAAGATTTTTGCTCATATCAGATTTTGTTAATATATCATTTGCCAAGGAAAGAGTGTATTTTTATTGCTACATTAAGTCAACAGACATTACTATTACTTTAATAGAAATAAAATTTTAATTCTGAGAATCATCTCTATATTAGGCTATTTAAAGATTTAGCTGGAGTATTATGAAATGATTGCCGTTTGTTTTTTTTTAATCTAATTTTTATTATTTGTTTGTGTGTATACCGTCAAATCAGATCTCACTGGTACAGGAGGAGATTGTCCCTCCTTCTCCAGTAGAGCATCTAATGGATTCAAACCTCGTACCTCTGGGATTGCAGTGCAGCTTCTTGCCACTAGGCACAAGAGCTTCCTAGATTGTGGTATTTCATTGACCCTTTGTCTCCGTTGCTAAACTAGAGAGCCAGAATTTTTATTCTTTATTTGAATAAAATATGTATTGCTTTCTGAAAATTAAGTATTCTTTTAAAAATAGTAAAGGGACACTTTTCCTGATTTTAAACCAAGCAGAATCGCCTTGTTTTATTTGACTGACTCTATTGATCTATGTTCAGGTTGCACGGGAGTGCACTTAAGCATTCTGGAATTCCTGTTTTTCACTATGCTATCCATAATTTGTTATGATCCATACAATTTATTGCCATTGCATAATCAATAAACACAAGTAAATGTAAAAAATGAATTGAAAGCCTTTACAATTTTGTGACCTTGTTAATGTATTTTGATTTCTTTTTAAATATTTACACACCTATTACAAAACCAAAGCCAAACAAATTAAAAATGCTTACAACTTACTGCTTTTGCATTAATTCTGGCACAGAGTGTCCCTTCGTTGAGATTCAGAGGTTGTAAATCTTAGAAAAGTAGAGTGCCTGTCTTTAAAATTACTAGATTACTAGGAATGTGATGGTGGACATGGTCCTTCAAAAGGCATTTTAACGCGTTTACTTTCTATGATGCTTTGGTGTTTTCTGATGGCATTTTAGAAAAGCACACATAAATTGGCAACATTTTCAGCCCTTTCTCCCCTGTACCACGCAGCCAGTATCTCCCTATATGGAGCCACTCTTATTCTCCTCTGTCCTTTTGATTTTCTTACTTTGTTTTCTCACAGTTTTGTGTCCTGAAGAGAGTGCTGAAGTCTTTCTCCTTCAGGCAACAGGATTTTCTCAGGTGTATGTGCTGAGATTAAAAGGAAAGATAATTTTGTGACCATGGATGAGCAATTTCTAACCCATCTTTTCTTATATTTTGAATTTTATCTTTAACAACTGGAAAGATTGGTTTTGGGTGGGAGAATGGTTTGAGGTGATAAATTAGTAGGCTACAACCCTGATTGCTCTGGTGACATAGTCTGTAAGGAACTGGGTTGCTAACTAACTTCTTCTCTGGCAGTTCAAATCCACCAGCAGCTTGATGGGCAAAAGATGACCATTCTCTTCTCATACAATTTACTGCCACTGAAAATATGTGGGAGGGTCAGCCCTAAGTTGATTCTGACTAAACAATAATAAGTTTTGTAGTTTTGTGTGTTTAAAATAGCTAATGATCTTGAGCATTTTTTCATGTGTTTGCTGGCCATTTGAATGTCTTCTTTGGTACAGTATCTTTTCATGTCCCCTGCCCATTTTTAAATGGGATTATTTGTTTTATTGATATATTCCTTTTTAATGTGATTACTGGAATATGAAAAATGACTCTTTTGGGCTTACATTGTATGTCTTTTAGACTTTGCTCTTTTAAGGAAACAAAACCATTGTTTTAAGTGATGTACTTTAAAAGGTCTTTGAATCTTCTTCCTGCATCTAACTTGTGGTTATTTTATGTTTCTGATTCTTTAAGGATGGCCTGGTAGTAGGGAGTTGCACTGTCAACCTAAAGACACATGGTTCAAATCTATCAGCTGCTCCTCTGAAAAAAGATGGGCATTATTCTCTTCCTATGTGATTCGTAACCTCTGAAGACCTAATGGGGGTGGGTCACCTATGAACTGGTTCCAACTAGATGACACATAGCAACCACAACAGGAAGGTTGCAATCACAGTTTTATGTTTCCGTTTCTTTCAGGTTGAAATCAGCATTCAAAGCAACTTCCAGCCAGGAATGAAATTGGAAGTTGCCAATAAGAACAACCCAGACACATACTGGGTGGCCACCATCATCACAACCTGCGGGCAGCTGCTGCTTTTGCGCTACTGTGGTTACGGCGAGGATCGCAGGGCTGATTTCTGGTGTGATGTGGTGATAGCAGATCTCCACCCAGTGGGGTGGTGCACACAGAACAACAAGGTGTTGATGCCGCCAGATGGTAAGCTGGTCATCCAGACGATGGCCACACTTCGAAGGCTTCTGCTTTATAAGCACTTATCATTTTTAATGTTTTTAGTTACTACAGTGTAGAGATCTTTGTATATGGTTGGTCACTTCTTTAGTAGAAAGGCTGCCTTCTCTTCAAAAATGGCTTTCCTAAGTTTCATTGTCTAGAAGGCATTGGTGTAAGGGGCTGTTAGTGCATATTCAGGTGTCAGAGCTGGATCTGATCCATTAGCTAATGTAGATTGGTCTTTAGGAGATAAATGCTTTTTAGCATAATCCTGAGCTTGCTTTTTGAGGGTAAGAAAGGAAACTGAAGGAGGGGTCCTACTGATTGAGGCCTTTTTTTTCTTTTTTCTGATTTTTTTTTTAACCATTTGACATTTTGAGTAGCATTGCAGAACATCTTAAACAGGCTTCTCTAATAAGTTTTAATCTGTCTTGCCATCAGGATGTGAAGCATGTAGAAACCCAAACAGATGAGGAGAAGTGACATCACTCTCAAAGGAATTGTCAAAACTCATACAGAATAGATCCGTTTAGACACTGGAAAACAGTGGTTGTCCGTCAGGCAATTCTTCCCCCTGGGGGATTTTTGGCAATGTCTAGAATACTTTTTGGTTTTAATTACTGGGAGGGAGAGGGAATGAGTGGGATCAGGAGAGCGATGCTGCTAACCTTCTTTATGTGGATGCTCAGAGCAGGCTCCCACCACATCCAACTGTCTCCTTGTTGTCTTAACAAAAACTATCGGCAGGGCTGATGTTGAGAAAGAGTGAGTTCTGTTTTGCAAATGAATTAAAAGAGCTTATCTGATCCTATAAATGAAGACACCTGAGTCATTAGAGACTTGAATCTCAACTCTATTTTCCATTTCCTTATATGATGATGACAACAGTTACTTCTTGAAAACTTGCTAATTCTCAAGCTTGTGCAGTATTTTCTCAGTGCCTAACTGTGTATTTTTGTTTTGAACTGGTATTTTAGTTTTGGAATTTTATTTGAAATTTTATTTCAAAACAAATTTTGAGTTTATTTGCTTATTTTTTAAAGGTGTGACTTTTTTCATTCCTGATTGGTGGCCTACTAGTGGCTTACATGACAGTGTGTGTTATGAGTTTAAGAATTGCATTTATTTTGAATATTTTTTATGTGTTTATTGGCCACCTGGATTTCTTATCTGCTGAAGCATATACTTATATTTTCTGCCCATTTTGTTAATCGAGTTGCTGTCTTTTTCTTGTTGAGGTGTTGGAATGTTATGTAACCTTTAGATATGAGTCCTTTATCACATATGTCATTGCCAAACATTTTTTTCCAGTCTGTGGGCTTCCTTTTTTACTCTTTTGGAGAGAAGTTTTTGATGCACACAAGGATTTGATTTTTAGAAGATTCCATTCATCTATCTGAAAAAAAATGCTCAAAACCGCTAGCTATTAGAAAGATGCAAATCAAAGCATGAATGAGATATCATAGCAAAGGACAAATTCTGGTAAGGGGATGGTGAAATTGTAACTCACCTCATTCACTGCTGATGGGAATGTAAAATGGTATTACCACTATGGAACACAGTTTGGTGTTTCCTTAAAAAGTTGAAAATAGAAATACCATTTGACCCAGTTATCCCACTCCTGGGAATATGCTCTAGTGAAGTCAGAGCTGTGACACAAACAGAAGTGTGCATACCCATGTTTACTGAAGCAGTGTTCAGAATAGCAAAGACATGAAAGCAGTCCAAGTTCCCATGAGCAAACGAATGAATAGAAAAAACTGCTACATTCATACAATGAAATATTACACAACGTTGAAGGGAAAAAAAACACCCAAAGAACTCATAAAACCCTATACAGGGTGGATGAGTCTGGAAAACATTATGCCGAGTGAAATGTCTCAGTCACAAAAGGACACAGATACTGCATAAGACCACTGTTATAAAAATAGGATGGGCTAAAAAAAACCAAAAAATAGGACGGGCTGAAAGAAGTAGGAGAAAAAGGATGACTAGATAATGAACACTACACTGGAATGGGTGGAAGGACAATCTGAGAGGAATGGAAGATTAGACATTATTATGTATGACCATTAACACTCTAGAACAGGACAGACTTTACAAAGTGAAAGTGAATTAGGCGCATGGTGGGGAGGATAATATATGAATGAATGAAAACCTGAAGGAAAAATTTATAAATTTTTAGTAAAATAAATTAAAAAAACCAAATTGCATTTATGTGACATTTGTTTGGATTGAATCCACGATTTTGGCCTCAGCGTTTATCTAGACCAGTTAGGTCCCAGGAAAAAGAACATGAATCCTACTTCTTTCCTTGTGTCTTGAGTCTTTGTACTTTTTCTGGCTTAGAAGCCCCGCCTCCTTTCTTACTTGTGTTACATCTCTATCACTCCACACCCAATTATGTGTTGCTTCCTCTGTAAACTACGGTCAAAGCCCTTCCCCTGCTCTGTTCTCATGTGCCTCTGCTGTTGATTATGATTGCCCCCCTGTGATGCCTTTCTCATCTCTTAATTAAGATCCAGTTCACACACTATAAACTTACCCTTTAAAAGTACACAACTCAGTGGGTTTTAGTATATTTCAAAGTTGTGCAACCATCACCACTGTGTCCAATTTTAGAATGTTTATCACCTCAAAGAGAAATCGTGTACCCGTTAGTAATCAGCTACCCTTTTATCTATTCCCTTAGCTCCAGGCCACCATGGACCTACTATATGACTGTATGGGTTTGTCTATTCCAATTATTTCATATGAATGAGTCATGGATTTTGTGAGATATTGTATCTGGCTTCTTTGTTTCACATAGCATAATGTTTGGTCTGGATTGGCATTTGATTCCTTTTTAAGTTTGAATAATGAATACTGCACTAGATGGGTATGCCACATTTTGTTTTTTTTTAGTCACCCATGGGTAGAGATTTGGGCTCATATGAACTTTGCATTGTATGATTCTTTGTTTTCTGTCCATTTAATCCTCTGGTCAGTAAAATCCATAAATGTAGGGACCTGCACTTATTTATGTATCCCAGTGCAAGAACACACTGCCGTGCTTGAGAGATTCTGAATAATTGAGTGGCCTAGCTACAAAGGTGAAAAGGTGGGGGCTTCCCCACCAGAAGGTGCCCTTAAATAAAGGGCAAGTTAGGGCAAGTTGTGTCTCTTCTTTCCTTGCATTTTGAATCAGTGTTGTTTCTGTCTTTATTTATATAATCTGAGATGTTATATCCTGCATCTGAGTTGAGGGATCTTTTTTCAGGTGAGTGCTTTGGATGTTGATAATGGATGAGGCTTTACTTTTTTCCCCCTTAAATCCCCACCCCCTTGTTGTGGACCATTGAATCAGATCCGACTGGCTCAGGAGGCAGAGGTTTCCCCTCCTTCAGTAGAGTATCTGGGGGATTAGAACTGCGTGTCTTCAGGATTGCAACACAGCTTCTTGCCACTAGGCTACCAGAGCTCCCTGAGGCTTTATGTTTAACTCTCATTCCTAATTCTGCATAAGCAGATAGTCAAGGAAGGAGATTTTTACTTTAGTTCTCTTGGTAATAGGTGCTTATCTAAGCCCCAGAGCCAGCCTACACTGGTTACATGTGGCCCTTTTTGATCTGGCTTTCAGTTAAAACAGTCACAGGTAAAATAAGATGTGATATGAAGTATAAGCATTTACTTTTCATATTGTGCTGGAAAGGGGTCTTGGTTGCACAGTGGCTACTCACTTGCTAACTGAAAAGTTGGTAGCTTCAATCCAGCAGCTGTTCTGTGGGGTGTGACAGTCTGCTTCTCTAAAGGTTTATAATTTAGCAATCCTAGAGGGCAGTTCTGCTCAACGCTTCCAGGAGATGGAAGAGACTTGATGGCAATGTGGGCTTATTTGTCTTTTGGAACTATCATAAAATAGACCAACCTTGATGGATCAATTGTACTGATAGAATATTGGACCGATATTAATTCTTAAAGAAGCAGAGAAGTCCTATTCACCACTCTGTTCACAAATTATCGTCAGCAACCCATGAATACAGGACGACACAGCAACCAATGAACTAGCCAACTCAAACAAACCAAAAAGCTCACAAGTTCTTAGTTGATTCTGACTCATGACAACTCTCCATTAAGTTTCTCAGGTTGTAAATCTTTATAGGAACAAACTGCCTCATATAAGTCCCAAGGAGTGATTGATGGATTTGAACCAAAGACCTCTGGGTTAGAGAATGATACTCATATAGAGGGGCATGTGTCACTTAGAAAAGGCAACGATTTGACTGCTATGATCTCAAGAAAGTTAAAGGATATATGACCACACATATACTGACAGGAGGGCATAGACAGATGTGTGTTTGTCCCTGGGGGCAAATCCACATGGGGAGTTAAGAAAGGGGAGAGTTTAGAGGGAGATGGGGAGTTAGGCCGTTACCCTTCATTGCAGCTCCTCCCATGTGGCTGTCCTTGCTGTGAGCCCTTCCATCATCTTATTCATGACTCACCCTTAAAAGTTTGACACATTAGTAGCTAAATGCCCTTGGCAAGGATGTAAGATGCTTTCACTTCATAATAGATTCTCTAGTGAATAATTTTAGAGAGAACTTCCAGGGTACTGAATTTTAGCACTCAAGAGCTAATGGACTCATTTGGTAAAAATCTGCGCTTGTTGTTTGAGAACAGGGCCTAGTTTATTAATCAATTCTCCTTTCACACATGGATGAAAAATGCGGTAGCAGTCACAGTTTTAGAAACACCATCAAATTTGTGTCCTACCGACTTGTGCTATTAGGCAAGACACAGGCACAATTAATGAGACAAATTCAAAATGAAAAACGGGAAAACCCTGTCAGAAAGGGAAGCGAGTCATTTGCTGTTAATGTGACTGAATGATGTGATTTCTGTTCAGACAACAGCAGGTTATGCTAATGTGAGGATTTCTTTATTGTGCTTTTTAAAGAACTTAAAAAAAAAATTTAGTAGCTAATCAATATGCCTCAGAGATC